GACACACTTAATATTATCAGCGTTCTGATGGCATTTTAGCCAAGGGATTTTAATCAAAAGCATAATTAATGAGCAGAAATAAGGAATAGTTGTATTAACCATACATGGAAACAGAGTTTTATGGGGCCCCCAGGAACTTGGGGCCTAGTTTTGCCTAATGGTAAAATGGCAAAGTGGTATGGGGAAAGGGCAGGTGCTCTAGCACCATCTAGTGTTTATCTGTGCACATCCTGCATGAGGAATTCCAGTAGAAGAACATCTAGATATTTCAGTTAGAGGCGAGGAGGAAGATGTTCCTGCAAGACGTTCAGACCTGGTTGGCTGAGAGCAGAGTAGGCGGTAGGCAACTGCCTAGTATTGCCTAATGTTAAATCCCCCCTGGGTTATACTCCTGGTTCAAAAGACAAAAGTTCCAACCTTTAAAGGCATAGACGCTCCTTTTGGGAACAGGGACATTCAGATATCTGTTGGGTTTTCCAGGTTGGGTGAAGTTCTGTGTTAGTTTTCCCTTTTACCTCCCTGATTCATTTTAGTTTCAGTTTGATCCTAAAAGTTTTCAAAAGACTCTCCCCTTCCTGGACTTTTTTTACCTGTAGCTTTGAGTAAACTTTGTCCACAAACATCTGGCGAACGTCTCTCCTGATTATCTGTTACCGTTTACAGATCAGTATTTCACATGTTTCAACAGAAATAAGGTTACACTCTTAAACAGTCCAACAACCAGCAGCATGTGGGCAGCTATGCTACTGACCCACTTCTATAAATGATTCAGAACAATTAGTTTGTGGTCATTTGTCTCAACCGAAGGTTGTAAGTTCATTAATTCCCTTTAGCCTCCATTATTTGTCAGACCTGCAAAAACATCAGAGATCTTGGCTGTGAACTGGCGTCCCTGGGTGGGTTCGCAGGGAGTCAGACATGATGGAGCCTGATGGGAAGAAGAATGACTGACAGGATGTAAAAACAGAAAGCAGCTGACCACCGTGTGCTCCTGCTCTGGTTTGATGTCAGTAGCTCATGTGATCAGTCTCACCTCAGCCGGACGCGGTCCGTCCTGCACCAGCAACCCTATCCTCCTCCACCTGTAGCGCTGCAGAAGCTTCACCGCAGCCAGGTTTACAGCGCGGAGCGATGGAACCGTGCTGAACAGGTGCCCGTACCACTTCCTGTTGGACAGGTTGGGGGGTGGAGCCCTGAAGGACACCTATGGTGATGGAGGAGGAGGAGATCAGTGGTGATACAGAAAGGCAACGGAATGAGGAAGATGAGGCTGAATGACACACCTGCAACAGGTTGAGAGCCTGCAGAGAACGAGCAACCAGTGACGTCACAGGTAGACACACCCCTCCCAACATCAGCGGGTACCTGGGCCCCGCCCACAGGGCGTCAAATAGGACTTTAAGGGCTTCAGCAGGATCACACTGGAAACACAAGGATGAAGATCTTAAGATGAAGAACATCTGGAGCTGGAAAGGCGGGTCTGATCAGGGCCGAGGGATTCGTACACGATGCGAGGATTCACAATAGGATGAACTGGCGGCGTTAGGGGGCGGGGCTTTCAGGATCACTTAATGCAAATACTTCTATGTGAGACCTCAAAAATAACGCCGACTTTAAAGCCCCAAATAATAAACATCAAAATATACCTTTTATATGTACTTAAGAATAATTTGTATTTATTTAGTAAGTGAAGTAAATATTTGTAGTTTTAAATAAATGTATTCTTTGTAAATGACAGTCAATTATTAGTAATCCTTTTAAATCCATTTGAACCATTTAACTTCACCAGTTAATGGTTTGTTTTGAATTAGAATTAAGTATTAGATAAATGAATAAATAAATGCTACATCTACTTATTTTATGGAACATCAACATGTTTTTATTTCATTTTGGCGTCCATGTTACTCAGCGATCGAGTCATAGATTGTAAAAGCCATCTAGTAATTCCTGGCTCCTGACCCCCCACCGGTTCATGACCCCCCACTGGTTCCTGATCCGTGGCTAGTTTCTGACCCTCAGCTGTCATTTAAATCCCATATCAAAGAAGTTTAAATAATTATTTTTATTGCAAAAATGAGCAATCTCCTGTCCAGGGGTGATGCTGAGAAACTAGTCCATGCATTTGTTACTT